AAATAATATGTTTTAAAATCGGACCAAACGATCTGAGTCTTTTTAGTAGTCAAGTGGATTAGTTTACTAAATTCTGTGTGCAAAAGTGTGCAAAAGATTGCGAAAAAATTAAAATTGGTAGAAATCGTAAGGAAAAAAATGAAGGTTGTGTTTTTCAACTTTCTTATCTGAGCTTGTAATGAAGATTTAAACAACACATTTTGGCCACTTATATAAGATTAGTATATGTCCAAAATTTCACTGAAATTCATCGATATTTTGTATTCGTCATTTTAATCATGCGCTCTCAATTCTAGCACTGTGGGTGCAATAAGGACGTTACTTAACCATTTTAATTGTAAATGAATGAAGTAATAAAATTTCCACTTGCATTCTTGCGAAATAAAATAATTGAATATTGGTGACATACATAGAGGAAGTATAGCATTGTGATAAATTTTCATTGCGACATTCCTCGATCCTTCGCCGCGCCTTAAACTACTTGCAAGATTTATTCTACCTTAAAACGCCACGTGTCTCCTGTGACACTTTACCTTTGTCAAATTCTTTTTCCTTTCCCTTTAATTTATCATTTCAAAGCTTTACATTTCAAGTCAACACTTTCTTACGCATAATATTTGACAGTTAAACAATATATGTACATGTGCGTAACAATTTTGATTGCACACATGACATTTTTTATCGATCAATTCAGTTAACATTATAAATTCGAATTGGCAATCTTCGTTATAATGAAAATCAAAAGAATGTAAAAAATACATTAACCTATTTGTATTATCGCTAGGCTGTGGATTTTTATGTGGAACAAAACTTGTAAGATATCAATTCATGAAATGTTATTTAGTAAGAATATTCTTTAAATATCATGCTATCTATTTTGTTGTTGATACTTTAGGCACTTTGTCCAATATATGTATTTTTTAAGATTTTTATATACTCTATTTTACTATAAATACAAAAATCCATAAACTAATCATCACTGTATATAAAGAGAATTTTGCTTACCAAATTAGGTCACCAAAGCAGTTGTGCAAATGCACATAAATGAATACGAAATATTGCTTCACTTCATATGATTGTTCATATTGACTATCACACTATATATAGCAACGCAGTAGATCAAGGGACGCGGTAAAGTGAAAATTGGTCGAAGAATGTACAAAAGAGAAGGAAGATATCAGAATTAGAAGTGCATTAGAAAAGGAATATTATTTAGAAAGAACTGGTTCTAGGAGTATTTTATATTATGGGTGTGACAAAGCCAGGAGATGGAAGAGGAGGTAACTGAGAAGTTGATGTCGCAGGGTAGAGATAACCAAAGACAGATATAGTATAATAAAATAAGATCGTCAAAGTTTAACCACAGATATAAATGCATTGAGACTGAGAACTTGCCAGAGTACATACAAAAAGAAGGAAGATGAGGAAGTCAGCAGCTAATAGCGCAAGCGAGGTGCGGATCCTTAGAAAGATGGTGTAGATACTGGGAAGAAGAAAAGTAAAGTAAATTCTGAGTGAATAGATATGGGAATTTAGAACATTATGTAAGAACACATGGGGCCTTAGAAAGGGGTATAACTATAAGAAAAATTGTGTATAAGATAGGAAATGACAAGGTGGTGGAACGGGTGAGGAAGCTTGTTCCAAAGAAGAAAAAAGGAAATGGGATATAGGAGTAAATAGCCTTAGAAGTTTAATACATGGCATTAAGTTAGTTATGTTATGTTATTAGTGTTAGATATACTAAGTTTGTTCCATATTATTGTTAGATTTATTTTATTAGAAGTTTGGTGAGGATGAACGATTATGCGTGAAAGATTAATGATAATTATATAATAATATTTTGTTCGTAAACGAGTTCTTTTTCAGGCTCTAAAAGCTGAAAATAAAATATATTCTATTCTATATTATATAAATTATTGTATTATATTATATATGATATCAGTCATTGTATTTGTGGGAGTACAAAAGACCCGTCCATACCAGATAGTTGATTGAGGATTTGATTTACAATACCTTCAACTTCTACCTTTCAGCTGGCATGCAGCTATTCGGTGATACAAAATCTGCGTGCTAGCTCTTGACATTTTTTAGACATAAAGGGGAAAAGCGGAAAAATCCACCGTGGTAGATCCCGAAGGGAACATCAGCAGAAAGTGTGAGAGCGTGATAGAGAACATTGTGAGAGTGTAGTAAACAGTGTCGTGAAGAGAACATCTGATTCGTACCTTTAATTTTTATTAATTGAACATACGAATGTCTTTTGAAACAATCCCCTGCTGTGATGATGTAAAACCTTCCTCCAATCATACATATTAATTGTTGTATAAACATTATAAGAAATATAGTATCAACCAATATATGATTTATTACATCACCCATTATACAGAACATTGTATTAAGCATTGTATTATATGAAACAGTATTAATTTTGATTGTAACATGATGCACACGGATGAAAACATTGAGTAAATTAATCGTTGATTATTAACATGGGAGACAGAGTTCAACCTTGGAAGTTGACTCTTGACGGTGACTCTGGAGTCTAATACACGGCGACGACGGTCGAGAAGGTAAGGTCTCCATTGAACGAGATCTCGTTGATCTCGCCTAAGCAGGAAGAGTCCCT